AGGACATCGGCAACGGATTTTTTTATTGGCTATTTTTGTTCACGTTGGTTATCTTAATAAGGATATGTATTTTATTTGGAATGAAAATTATTCGATTCGGAGTAAAAAGCGAATGAAGTTGGTCTAATTATGCATGGTGTCCGCCATCTTGAAGAAATTCCCGATATGCTAATTTATGCTGAAATGCCTTACTGACGTCATTGGCAGGGGAACGGATTATACAATGTATACGGCCCTTGTAAATAGCTATAGTTTACATGCTGTTTTTTTCTACGTTATTTGAGGAAATTGCATAAAAATGACATAGCAACCTAGTTTATTTCTATAAATTTCCATAGTAAGCGTTCTTTCGCCTTGCGGAAGATATGCGACGAGTATTTACGTCTTAGTGTAGGCCGCGCCGAACATATTGCGTCAATGCAATATACAGTTGACATAAGTTTAATTTTTTAAAATCACTGTGGAAACCAATTCATTTTTTGTCCATTTTTTTCTGGGCGAGGGTAGGTAAGAAATGATGCTTTAGTTTTCTAAAAAACATATAAAACGCAAAACATAAACGGACTACGTTATAATCTATATTTTTCCACAGACTATTGCATTCATGTAATACGTATTAAACCATGAAGGTCAAAGTTAAGCAATGTATCTTGCCCTGTGTACGGCTGCAATAGTGATAGTCAACTGAAGACAAATAGAAACGTTAATTTCTTTCGTTTTCCTTGCGGCAAAATGCCTGAGCAGAAGAGCCGTAGAGCGGCCTGGGAACATTTTTACAAACGACAAGCATTCAAACCCTCACTTTGTACAAGAATTTGCTCGCTTCATTTTGCCGAGGAGTCATATGAACCCTCGCATTCTCCTCAATTCCTCGAAAGCATTGGATACACAGAGAAAACGAGTTTGCGCGTAAAGCCCAATGTTTACCAACGCTTGACAAGCCTACGACCAGCGCTAGCGTTTCTAACGTATCTGCATCGTCACAATCGAAGAGAACAAGGAGACAAACCGAAAGGAGACAACGTCAAAAGATACCAGTACTTGAAAGATACATTTACCAATAGCTTTAATAAATTCTGCTTCTTCAATGTCTTTATTTTTCTTCATTGTTTCACAATTTAGAACCTTGAAGAGTGGTTAAAGTCACTTTCATCAACAGAGGATGAAAATTTGTCGGTTGCGACTTGCGAGTAATCTAAGCGATATAAAAGCAGACGTTCGCATAGACTCAGACGCAGTTTGCGAGGAAGAAATAATAGCCAGTTCAGATGTCTGAAGACATTTAGTTGATTTACGCTCCACAGTTAGGATCAAAATACACTCAGAAGTCAGACCTCGCTGAAACACACAAGTAAATCACAAACATTCAAAACACAGGCATTCATAACAACAGAATCACCGTGGTTTAGACAGTTATTTGATACTGCAAACTTAAGTGTAGAAGCGGAAGCAACGACGCAGAATAAATAACTAGAACAAATCGCCAGAACTGAATAGGACTCTGTAAATGCAGCTCTAACAACTTTAGAGGCCGAACATACGTTAATCATCGAAGAACTACCTTCTGCACTACAAACGACATCATTAGAAAATTTTGACCAAACGAAGTAAAACTATAAATACCATAACTAACCCACAGCTATAAACTAAAACCAACATTGACCGCTTCCTTCAGCATTTGTGACTACAGGATCGTACTCATCGTACTCTAAACTCTAAAGCCTTATCGTGCGAGCAAAAACTTCCTATTGTCTTTGTTTGCAAGGGAGAGTGGCCACACTTGCACCAACTGCGCGATTTAAGACGCCAGATATTCTCAGCCTCGAATGCTTCATCGAAGTCTCAAGTCGTCGTCTGAGCCTTTGGAGGACGACTCGCTCTCGGAATCGCTTCTGCCCCACTGCTACCAGTATTTTTGTTTAAAACAGGTTCAAACTGATAAGGTGACACTTCACCTAACTGATTCTCGTGAATTTCGTCCATAGAAAGCCTAGAACCGGCGAAAATTCTTCACAAAAGTTAAAACTGATCAAAAGCTATAGTAGCGACAGCGTATTGTTTTGCTTCTCCCCTGCCAATGACGTCAGAGGCCTCAAATGACATGAAAGATAATTTTCCAAAATGTGCTTTCAAAATGGCGGGCGGTATGCATAATTAGACCAAATTCATTCGCTCTTTACTACAAATTGAGATATTTTCATCGCAAATGAAATACATATCTTGACTAAGACAATTATAGAGAACAAAACAAGGCAATAAAAAAATCCATTGCCGATGTCCTTTAAGGTTACAGAACACCTTTGAGTGTTAATTTTGCCTAAATATTTTTTATTGGTTTCCATGAAAGCATTAGACTAGTTCTACTATCTGACCAAGTTTGGACGAAAAATGTTGAAAACTCGCAGAGTTATTTAATAAATTACATTTCGCTTGCAATAAGAAAAACATTGAACATGTAATATTCAAATTCAATTTTCTCCCGAAGAATTTTACGGCAATTACTGATTTTCAAACGAGTTGTGCTCCTGCAGGTTTTAATGAATTGTTCTCAAATTTTCACAGGACATAGCTAAAGACGTCAGTTTCAAAATTGTGTTCGGCTTTGTTCTACTTTTAGATATTTTAATAATAAGGAGCAATTCATACAAACGATTCAGAAATATATTGCAGTTGTCAAAGAAATCGCCATATCAGCGGAATGACGAAATAAACAAAAATTTCCGAACACCATTTTTCAGAACAACTATTTCACTATATAAAAATGATATTTTCATAAATATATCTTAAAACCAGCAGGAACATAACTCAAAAGCGTAAAGGTACCGCGACTTAAGATTTTCCTGAATAATTCTTACATTATTTTATTGTTTGTCAATTTTACAACTTTATCATATTTTGCATGCACTGGCTAACATTTGGTGAAAATTTGATGAAAATCGGACTGATTTTGAGCGCGCAGTAGCGATTTTCCACAAAACGCCAAAAAGGGTGACCTGTAACCTTAAAATAATTTAACTCGAAAAAAGGTCGGTTACTCCAATTTTTTATTTCATAAAATCATCTCTATTAGTATTTTGAATTATTTTTCTAATTTTAAAAAAATCTGACATGCTAAAATTTTTCAAGCTAGGAAAATGTAAAAATTCGTAATAATTTTTTGGCCATGATAGAATTTTTCAAAAATATACTAAAAGGAATGATTTTATAAGATAAAAAATGGGGGTAACCGAATTATTTTTTTCGAGTTAAATTACTGTACTTTAAACATAAAATATCTGAAATGTTGTGATGTCATTGTTGCCATAGCAACGGCAGTTACAGTAGGAGTAGTTTTTATTTAAATTTCATAACTCCTTAGTTATTGTGTTAATAGTTAATACCACTCAGATACTCTTTGTTTCTAAACAAATAATAACTCTCCAGAACTTCATATCCAAATCAGAAAATTTTTAAAAAGTGTACAAGGCTTACTGTAGAATTAAACAAAAGTTATTCCGAATAAGGAGTGCATAATATTAACACACAATTTATAAAAACAGTTTTTATAAATTGTGTGTTAATATTATGCACTCCTTATTCGGAATAACTTTTGTTTTATTTTTGCTGAAATTATCAGCTGGAAAAGGTTACTGTAGAAGCATCTGGTCCTATAAAATAGAATGTTATAATATATTACAGTCAAACCGGATGTTCTCTTGCGAGCAACATTGCAATATTGTCCCACAATATTGCAATTTTGATTGGCAGATTGCTTTGAGCAATTTGCAAGTGACGGGAACAAATTGTAAGTTGAAATTCACAAAAGATTTGTAAACAAAGCCTCTGATTGGACTATAAGAAAGAGGGAAACACCAATCCAGTTGCCCAGACTATTTGATTGCAATGATTGGCTTCCCTTTTTCTTATAGTCCAATCAGAGGCTTTGTTTACAAATCTTTTGTGAATTTCAACTTACAATTTGTTCCCGTCACTTGCAAAATGCTCAAAGCAATCTGCCAATCAAAATTGCAATATTATGGGGCAATATTGCAATGTTGCTTGCAAGAGAACATCCGGTTTGACTGTAACTAGTAATTAAATCTGGGTCATTTGTATTTTGAGCAAAGTTTTGGGGGTGGGCCACAAGGAATTATTGCTAACCGCCTAACCTTTACAGATTATTTCCAGCCCCCCCCCCTCACAGTACTTTTATATGCCTATTGCTCAAATCCCTAACAAACTGGCTAAACAGGCCCTGTTTTAGTTGCTAACATATTTACTCATCTAGTTTTTGTGTGGGTTTTTATGTTCAACACGAACGGCTAGATGGACAGTAAAAATTTGTCAAATAACATGTCAAATAAAAATATGACCACTGACACTGTCCTTTCATGAATATGCATGAAAGATGAATCGACATCACATAATACTATTTACATATTTCGCCAATAAGTATCGATATTTAGAACTTACCTTGTCCACAATGAGGACAAAAGTTGTTACTTATCTCCTTTTCCTTTCCGCAATTCGAGCAGAACATGACCTTGCCTGATTTATTTATACTAACTTAACTTTTGTTTTGTTTTGTTTTCGTTTCCTAAGTAGCGCGCTCGAAAGTCAAAATGGCGCCAATTTACGGACAAACTATAATGTTTTCATAACATGAAGTTGTAGATGGGTAAAAGATGCAACCGCTGACCAAACCGCTGACCAGTTTTTTAATTTTTATTTTGCCGTGAGGAATTTGCTCTTGCCGTGGGTATTAAATTTGCTCTTGCCGTGGGCAATTTGCTCTTGCCGTGGATAATTTGCTCTTGCCGTGACGAATTTGCTTTTGCCGTGACGAATTTGCTCTTGCCGTGATGAATTTGCTTTTGCCGTGGCATATGTGGGCCACCGTAAAAAAAAACTAGCTAATGAAATACTGAACAGCGGTAGGACGCCGGAATCCTATTTAATTTATACAAGCACAAAATTCTCAACACAAAATGTTTCTCAAATAGAAGTTTACAAATTACTTTCCATAATGAAAACATCAAAATCAGCAGCACATGATAGAATTCCGCCAAAACTTCTCAACGATGCGGCTGAAGAAATGGCTCCCTCATTAGCAGCGATATATTTACATGTAATGCTTCAATAAACTTGGCCTTGGGCATTTTTCCTGACGACTTTAAGATTGCTATAATCTCGCCAATTCAGAAATCTGACAGCAAATAAATCCGTGATAATTATATAGACCAATTTCAGTTTTATCATGTGTTGATAAAATATTTGAGAAAAGGGTACCCTTTTTCGTCATTTTACAAAACGATGCAGTTGAGCGATAATCGTACCCTTTTCAGTTAATATTTTTTATATGGAGATTTGATTTGTATAAATTCGTTAGATAATCCGGGTTTTTTTCGCTTTTAAGTTGAAACTTGGATCGATGTAAAAGGGTAAGTTAAAACGAACCAATTCACTTATCACACAAATCTCAAAAAAGAATACCATTTTATGAAAAATAAGGTAGGGCTTTTAGACATTTTTCATAAATAATTTATGACATCGAAGAGGATATGGAATTTTGTGTTATCGATAAGAAATATGTGATTCGAAAGATAGATTTGCTGCAAATTTAACTTTCAACTTCCAGAATTTTCTCAATTTTAGAATTGCCGGAACCGTCCACGGAATGCGTCCTTATGGAACAGCTTATACCAAGTTTAGCTAAGGAACAAAACAGCCTTAGTAAATTTAAATCTATTCTTGACCGCAGCTGATGTATATATTTTTGTAATTAGTAATTAGTAATCTATATAATTACAGTAATAATATAGGTAGTGTAATAGTTGTAAATTAAATAATTAATTTATATTTGTATTGTTAATTTAAGTAGTTTGCAAACGGCTCCTTGAAAAGCAGTTGCCTATTGCCCTGAAGGACTACCGTTTTTAAATATTTTTAAATAATAATAATAAAAAATAATAAAATGTTTCTTAAGAAAACATATCACAGATACAATATATTGTTTTTCTAAGGTACATTGCATAGCAGTAATTTCAAAACGATATCTTGACCGCAATAAAATCTCACTGCATTCAATGGTATTGATTTACAGATTGTTTCATTTGAACATTGACGTTAATAACGTTGAAAGTTGAAACGCACATTTCCGCACACGGCTTGTTACGCACAGTTAAAATCACGAAGAAGATATAGAAAGAATTCAACTTTCTCAAGTGAAAAGATAACTTTCATATTTGCGGTAATAGCAGGTATTTGGTTGCTTTAAACTAATTAATTGTTTGTGTTTCCATGGTTTAGTGCATATTTTATCATGTTTTGCTTATTAATACGGTCAAATTGTTTATGCAACGAAGTACATTCACTTCAAAACAACAATGTTTCTAGGAATCTCAGTCGAGTACAGTGGCGTAGCCAAGGTGGGGTGGGCGAGGGGGGCGACCGCCCCCCCCCCAATCGCCACAAAAACCATTCTCTCAAAAAGGCTAAATCCGTAGAGAATTTTTTTGGGGGGGAGTACACGTTACATGCTCGAAGCTGAAACTGATTAAGTACGTCTCTACTGAGGAAAAAGA